AAAACACCCACCCTACTCCTGCACACATACACACAGATAGATATGCATAAAAGAAGAAAGCATCACATCTTGATACATATCTCCTTCTGAACAATAAACGTAGTTATCTACATGGTAGTCTAGAACTTCCTAGTGATCAACCAAAAAATAGAATCACTTAAAAGAATCAAACAACATAGTTCAAGTCCAAGTTAACTAATAGCATGCACCTTGTCCAGCACGCAAGGAAGATTCAAAAAGTGCATTTGCAATTTCAGGAATGGAAGCTTCAGCGATGGACAGAGGAGTGCGCAGACCAGCTTTATATAGCGCCCTTGCTCTTGACCCCTTAAGAATAAAAAAAACAAGGCATGAAATCCAAAGCAGAAGTTATACAAGTGGCAACAGAAGTTATACACCCCAACACAATACATGTATAAGAGATACATAGACTTGAATAGACTTGGAGTCAAATCCTTTCTCACAAGAGTTCAACGCTGGGGCATCTTGTTTTCAATCTACTTTATTAAAGTTGATCTACACATTTAAAAAGACTATAAATCCCAATTCAAGTATTTTTGGGCATGCATGAGATAAGTGCAAGATTGATGGCCAAAAGTGGAATTAAGTATTTTATATCATTAAAATAAAAAATCATTATTTGGACTGTCCACCTTATGCATTGTGATGCATGAGTAAACTATAACAAATTTGATTTTAGTACTTTGAAATATTTTAAATAATATAGACCAACTTTAACGGATAGGATCTTTCAGATGCATAATAAAGCAGTGAATTTGAACAGGAATAATTTGCCTCCAACTGTTTAAGAACTAACCGAATCCTTCCCTCCCTCCTCCTTTTGTGTGTGTGTGTGTGTGTCGATTTGTGAGTGAGTGAGTGAGTAAGTGTGTGTGTGCACGCGTGTGTCTGCAAGATTCAGGCTGAGCGTGACAAGTAAACTTACCTTAACATGTGGAATTGTAGTTAGTTCCACAATCTCTGCCCTTACACCAAAGGAGACTCGATTCTGAAACTTGGAAATAAGTCCTTCAAAGTCATGCCAACCAAGTCTTTCACAAAAAATAGATACCATTAAAGCAAACCGACCAGCATTTTCTTGTAAAGATTGGACCATGCCTCTAGCAACTTTGAAGGCCTCACAGACATCAGCAACAGGGACTTCCTAACATGACAAATCATAAACAAATAATTACCATTGTGCAAACATAAGGGCAAGCAAAAGAAAGATGGTCTCCTGGATGCATTCAGCATTTCAGGATAAAGAAATGATAATAAAATAACGTATCGGCACAGTATTCACTAAGAATACAAAAAAACATTGACTCGGTGAAGCTCTAAAAACATAATGGGAGTTTGCTTCATATGTTTAGTTTCCTTTATATGTGTCTCGGGATGGAATATAGTATCCTATTGCAACAGCTTTTCCTTTCTAGAGAACCCTTATCGTCCACAAGAAATTTTCAGAAGTAGCTTACGGGAAACAGGTAATCAAAAAATTTCTGCCCTTAAAATTCCACCCTGCTATTATAACTGATTGTTGATTACCTTGCTTGCTAAGATACATCCTAATGATCCTTTTAAAATGAAAGGCTGCTAAAGTTTCTTAAAATATTAAATATCCAATTGTCTTCAATTGTATATAAACTATAGATGTTAATCAGCATAAATTCAGTGAATTCTTATTACAAGGACATAATTGTTTTGTTATGGTATTTGACACTCTTAACTATTGGTATAAGGTCAAACGAAAATTTGAGGATGTATGATCTAGTTATGTTACAATAGTCAAATATTCGCATCAAGACCAAACAGATGTATGATAGTCTTAGCCTCTTCCTAACTAAATGCAATCGAAAGCAGAAAACTGTGACATAAAAATTTGATGCATACATCCTATACTTGTCAGAAACTGATCCTCTTGTCTACTGGATCCTCCTGAAGCAAATGCAGAAATTATTGTACGCCCTCTATTATAAAAACAGATGATTTTTTCCATTATTGAATGGCTTAAAATTTTCATATATAGCCTAAAATATTCAAACAGATACTTGTAAAGTATCAGTCCTGTATTTATTTCCAAATAAACCCATATAGAGTCAGTTCTCACTGCTACTATTCAACAAATAGATGTGTCTGAACACTCTAAAACCATAGCAACGTGATATTTTAACTCAATGTCAACTGATCATAGCCCCAACACATTATCCCAAATCAAGGTAAGAGTAAGTTAGCTAAAAGATGAGATCACCTGAACTAGTCTGGACAGCATGAGAGCGACATAGAATCGCCTGCACACACGAAGTGTTTGTTCGTTACCAATATAAGCATTGTCATTTGCTGTGATCCGGTTTTGGAGATTGTCACCAAGACCGCTCTTTTTTCCTCTCAATCTTGCTTTTGCAAGAGGAGGAGCACCGTGGGCCATGCGCATCAAAAAAGGCTCAGCTACCCCAACACGATTGCCAACTGACTACATTTGTTATAGAAAATGATCAGCACCACTACGAAGGGAAGTTAAAATAGAAGATAACAGAACCAACCCTGTCAACCAAAGTGAATATCAAAAAACCACAAGCTTGAGCCTGAACCAGGTATCACACTATACTATTTTTCAACTTGAACTCCTAGGAAATTAAGGTGGCACGAGAACCTATGATCGAACAAGAGTGTGAAAACTTTCTGCATGTTGAAATATACATACGGAAGGAGAAAGGTTAATTAGCCCTCTCCTCTTTTAGTCTTATTTATAGTAGAGATTAAACATTTAATGCCATGTGAACATTGTATCCTGAATAAGGACACTTAACCATGCAATTGTATCTAGACACATGGCGTTTAACCATGTGACACAGCCACACATTGTATCAAGATACACGAACAAACACGTGCGCGTGCTATTGTCATGATATATGGATATATGAGGCACATAGTATGTGCCATAAAGGAAATCCAAGTCTAAAGGCCTAAGAACACAAGAAGTACTTAGATTCAACAGATGCATATTGTCAAGTTGACATATCCCAAGTCGATTCAACAGATACATATTGTCAAGTTGACATATCTCAAGTCAATCATACTTGCAAATTTGTGATTAAATATCAGAAAACAATTGGTCATGCGTCATATATTTTTGTTTCAATATGATCAGAAAGCTGTGTGTTTGCAAATTTAAGAGTATGAATGCAGGCATATGTTCAGAGATTAGATCATTTACATGCTTAAGCCAAAAACAGGACCATAATAGAACTCTGTAGAAAAGATAATATCAATAAGTTGCAAGATATGGTGACCACAAATGCCTACACGTAAAATGCATAACACGTGGTAGCCGTATTGTATGCACATTCTTTCCATAACAAAATATTAAAGCATCTAACCGATTAAAGTTACCAAACAAAAAAATGTAAATAATCGGAGCTTGCCTAATTCATTCATAAGGAAAGTCACTGAGGCCCCACTTAGAGGTAAATGTGCCAGATTAGGTTTGTGAATGGCCCAGACTGTAAAACAGGTTGCAGCGTTTGTTCAAATAGATACCAAAAACAGAAACTCGTATAGCAATGCCCAGAAAGCAAGTAATGGCTATGATCTGAACCCAAACCATTTATATTAGATTAAAAGTTAAACAAAACATGAATTGAGAATGGCATTAACCCAGCATAACAGAACTAGATCTACCTTTAGCACTCTGTCTATTTCAGAGAACTAGCTATCTCATAAAACTACACGTGGAAGAAAAAGAATGAGTATGTTAATATGTCATGTCAACCTTTAAACATATACTTATGCATGCGGGTATTTGTATATGCATGCAAATGCATATGTACAAGTCGCATTTATAGCTGCATTACTACCTTAATTCAAGATATCTGGTAATTGTGAATACCTTTTGCAAGATGCAAATCCATGGCAATAACTGTTCTTTGCAAAGGAAATTCATTCTGCTGGTTCAGGCATGAATATTTACAGTAGTAGGGCTTACCTGGTCAATGGGAGCTAGTTCCAGAAACCTTTCATAGTACAACTCCCAGTCAGGTTCAACCTCAACATTAATAGGTGTCACCAAGTAAACTAAATGCAAATCAGATGCAAGAACAAAGCCTTCCCTTGCCCTCGAAAGATCATCTATCACAACCTGAAGAATTTTAGGAATGTTTAAAACAGTCATGCATTGTGAAGAATGAATAGTTACATTTAGAGGGAAGCATTGTTTCTCCATAGCATAAAACAAGATAAGTTTCAAACATGCATACAAGTGACTCTTCAGGGGTGAGAGAACTTCCAAAAGCTGCTCGGCCAAGAGGTGTTGTGCTGTATAACCTAGTCTCGTCATTCCATTCAAGAAATTTCTTATGGCATAACCACCTAAGGGAATCTTGAGCTGATTTTACGACTTCTTCAAATGGTTTGGTCGAATTGAGAAGAGTACATCTTACATATCGATGAATATCACTTGCAGTTTGAACAATTCCACCAGCAACAACCTCAAGGATGGCATGAGTCATCCCGTTTTTATCTTCTGATAGACAAGACTGCAAGGACGGGCAACTGTCATTAAGGATAGACATAATCTTTTTGACCTCCTCTGGCTTGCATATAAGTACCTGAGCAAAATGGAAAACGGGCATGATCTCAATAAAACAAAGCCTCCACAAGAAGTGGTAAACAGAAAATCTGGTGGTCCTATATACATTTAGTAAGCTATGACAAAATGAGTTGCGAAGAATTAAGAATGAAGGCATAAAAAAGAGTGAGGCATACACTCTCTCCTTTTGTATCTATTCCAGTCCGACCAGCTCGACCAGCCATTTGTCTATATCGCGTACCATCAATGAAATCACGCCCAATTCGTGGTTGTCTGAATATTACCCGTCTAGCGGGCAAATTTACTCCAGCGGCTAACGTCGATGTTGCAGTCAATACACGGATGATTCCTTTTCGATAACAAGTTTCAATGATCTCCCTCTCCTCAACCTATAAATCAGTAGAAAAATCACATGTCACGCAAAACGAATGATGCAAATGGACTGACTACAGCATCTGTGCTCATCATTCATTTGCTGATTTTAACTCAAATGATCAGCATACAAGCAGTAACAGTAGATGTATAGAAAATGGGAATCAGGCAATTATCTAATTAAATAAGAGAGTAACTCTACTATCACAAGAAGATAAAATGTCAGAGGTGCATGGCAAATGCAAAGAAGAGGCATAGACAAAGATAACAAAATACAGTTTTTACAACAAGTTGGTGGCAGTGACTTCCTAAGTGCCTACAAGTTGGCATGGTCATATTAGTGATTCACAAAGGCATGTTGATGCAGGACACATTAGAAATTAAGATTTGACTTTGTTTAGTTGAGATATTTGGTTATGAAGTTGTTATATAGATATTGGATTCGTCATTTTGTTAGGATGTTTCATTTAATTTTAGCTATTAGTTAGGACTAGGATTTTGTTTTATTCCTTTAAAAAAGGTTGTGGTCTTCATTTTAGAGGGAGGAGAGAATAATGTTTGTGAGAAACCATGCATGTAAATTACAGGTAGCTCTGAAGCACGGATTCGCCCCCGGAGGCCACGAATCTGTGTCCGACTCGAATCGGACACAGATTCGTCACGACACGTGCACGACATGTGTCGGACACGACCAATCCGTATCCGACGTGGGTCGACGGTCAAATTAGACTCGGACACGGTCAAAGGAGCTCAGACATGACTCGGATTCGTTGAAGGCCGATCCACTCAGGTTGCGGGTTGCGGGTTTGGTTGTTAAAATCCAACCCAAACCGTTCGATTAAAAAACTCATCATCCCTATTTCTCAAATCTCCTGTTCAATTCGATCCTCAGCTGACTCAGACGAAAGAAAAAAAGAAAAAACTCTAACCCTAACTCTAATCCTCTCTCTCAATCTCTAAACTCACTCATGTTCGATTCGATCACCTTCGCTGTTCCGACCTGATCCCGCCGACCGCTCCGTTGTTCCGACCCGATCCCGCCGACCGACTCCTTCCTCCGACTCCTCAAGTCCACCCTCCATTCCTCCTCCCCATCCAGCACAACCACCACCAATGTCATCATCATCTTCTCCGGTTTTGAGTTCAAGCAACAGCCCGGTATCATATTATTATCATAAATCTGATGGAGAAAGTTACTCATTTATACTAAATCGAGATTTTCGTATTACTATTATTATCATAAATCTGATGGAGAAAGTTACTCATTTATACTAAATCGAGATTTTCGTATTACGTTCCATCTATATATAATAATATGATGGAGAAAGTTACTCATTTATACTAAATCGAGATTTTCGTATTACGTTCCATCTATATATAATAATATTTTTTTTAAATCCTTATTGTATCCCCGTATCCTTTTTTTTTTGGATTTTGTCATATCCCGTATCCGTGTCCGTGTCGTATCTGTGTCTCGTATCTGTATCCGTGCATCATAAACAGGTAGTATTGGGCATATGAGTGGCCTAGCATGTGAAGTGCCCGGGTGTGAAGCTCAACATTTGTATCTTTACTTTATTAAATGAAGAATGAAGAATGTAATTCCAACATTTGTATTTTCATTTTATTTTATCCAAATAATTGTCTCAAGAAATCTCCATCTTGTCGTTCCTCATCATCACATATCAAAAAGAACAAGGATAAGAAAAACACGTGCCTGGGTCAAAAATGGTGATGGTAAATTGGGCATGTGTATATCAGGCAAATACAAATATATGTGAGAATGAAGTAGAATATTTGAAATACCGTGAGCCCAGCATGATGATAGGCAACACCACAAGGCACTGTTTCTTCCAGTACAGGGTCCAACCCAGCAGGACACCTCCGCAATGCTTCCAAAGCAGAGCAAGCATCGTTATACTCACAATCAACTGTGTGTATACCAAGAGAGAATTTCTTTAAGAATCTAGACACGTGCCTTGCAGTTGATTCACATCCTTTACGACTGGAGCAAAATAAAAGCACAGAATGACCTTCTTGAACAACCTGGATTAGTAATTGTAATAATTGAAATTTGTCAACATAACAAAAGTAAGAACAACCTTAGTGGAAAAAAAAAGTAACTAAGGAAAAATACAAAACGATTGACTGCAAAATAGTATTAAAATCAACATAACATAGTACCTCATTACACAATTCCACAATATGATCTGGGTCTTTACCCCCAATTTCAGCAGATTTAGGCATCATCCGGACAATATCCATCTTTTTGTCAAAAATATTATGTCCAACTTTAATATATTCTTCTAGTGGAACGGGCCGAAAATCAGTCTCATAAAGTGCTGCCTGCCAATTTAGTCGGAAAATGTTAGTCCATGTATAATGACTCTACTCTGCTGGTTGTAAAGAAATCTCATTAAAAATAAAAACCATGGATACTGACATTGAAAGGAAATCACAGCAGACGTATAGATTATAAGATATGAAGCAAGAGAATCGTCATATTTTAGAACTAAGGGACATACCACTGCTAGTATGAGTAATCATATAAGATAATGTACTAAATACTCATATTTTCATAAAACTCAAAAGTCGAACATGATTAAAATCTAACAGATTAGAAAAAAAAAACTACAAGAGAGAAAATATTTGGATCATTCAGAACAAGATTCTTAGCAATATAAACATGTCAGACAATTTAATCCCGCACTTTACTAATTGCTATTCACCAACCGATACTGTGATCCTTGTCTAAGCCTTTGCTCAAGGTAAGGGAAAACAGAGGGGTTTGTCAAAATCCCAAATACCAAATTAGGAAACAGACCATGTTCCTTTATCTAGTATTATGGATTTACAGATTTATACTGATCCAAATATTGATGTTAGATTATGAAAATTAACAGGGAAAATAAAAATAATCAATTCTAACTCACCTGGAGCCAATTGGCAACAGAAGTTACATTTGGCATGGTTGCACTCATCCCCACAATCTGCAAGCCATGAGAGGGATCAGCCCTTCCGCTACTGCTTCCTGAACTATCACCACTAATAGACTCTGAGTTTCCTTCCCCAGCAGCATATCGAAGCTTTGTTAACATTAGCTCTAGAAGGTATCCTCGGTGTTGGTCACCAACCTACCATGGTAACTACAAACTGTGAGTATGTTTGAACTTTGAACATAAAAGGAACTATAGGAAGACAAGCATACAGAGCCGCAAACCTATCAAATAAATTCTTAATTCCATTAAATTCTGGAACCAAATGATTGATCCTTCTTTTTGCAATAATGATTTTCACACAAAGACTAACTAATATATTTTACTACACTGGAAGTCTAAATTTTCAGTCGGTATAAAACAAGAGACTTGGTAACATTTCCAGATAGGATATGTGGTGTAAAGGAATAACATATCTTATAAGTGCCCATGCAACCCTCACATTTCTGGTGCAGAATATGTGGTGGAAAGGAATTGCACAACAACACAATAACTCACAGATTTAACTAGTTACAACTAATAATCTACTAGATTTCAACAGTTACAAAGTATCTATCTAATACACCTAGAAAGTGAAGTGCTATAGTTGAGTGGATGAAAGCAAACAAACCAAAGTAAGAACTAACAATGCCAACATAAAAATTACATACCCAAATTAAGCACTTCAACTGCATCGTACTTTAAAAATCAGTATATATGTATGAATCAAGATAGAACGCAGGAACGCAGTGAAGAACTAAAATCTTGAAGACAAGGTCAGGAGCCAAGAAGGGACAGCTTACCATATGAAGTTCATCTATAACAATGATTCCAAGCTCAGAAAGGCGGCCTTCTTCTAACAATCTGTTAATTAAGGAGTTAGCCTTCTCAATTGTACACACAGCTACAGACGTGTCTTTAGGAAGTGATCGACCACCCTGACTTCCATAAAAGCTGCGCACATGCTTTCCAAGTGGCTCGAGCAGTACTTCCAGATGTTCAGCCTAATTGAAAAATCAAAGTTGTAGAAACTAGATCATCTAAAAGCTGCTGACAATAATGACATCAAACACAATAAATGTACCTTTTCAGCACAAATTGATACGTAAGGAAGTACAAGAAGTGCCATTTTTTCAGTTGATATAACTCGTCTCAACATTAAGATTTCAGCGACAAAGCTTTTACCAGCGCTGCAATGTTATAAAAATAAAAAGTAGCATGAGAATACTTAATATTGTAGAAGACATGACAGAAAAAGAGCAGTCATGACAGATAAAGGACATGCGAAGATATTGAAGGGAAAACCTATTCCAAGTGGAAATACTCAAGACAAAGTACAAATAAGAACCAACAATAAATGTTCTAATAGAACATCGAAGGAATGCACTACATGATGAGAAAGGACGAATCTAACAAAAAGAAATATGCTTTTCCCCCATCCAATAAGCATGCAATTTTATTTTAACTTTTCTTGTGAACTTGCCCCTTTGTGTAGAAGCATAAAAGACGTCAAGCTGCAAAACCAAATTAAAACGTCTGACAGCGCTCCTACAGAACTCTAAAAGAGAAGTAGCAAAAGGGGATCACGTCTAGCAAATGTATAGACAGTAAACAAAAATATGACATTTTCTCCAGATACAGAACTTATCATCATCAAATTATTCTTGTTACAATAGGGGCAACAAGGAAGCATAACGCTAATTGAGATCATATTGATGACATTTCACAAATGAATATATCAAACCTCTAATCGGAATGCAGATTAACTAAGTTGATCACATACAAGAAAAGTGGCAGTCTGGTAGATCATAAAAGGCAAATTGGCAAGTAGGAGAGCCTACATTCCCAGTTGTTGCAGTCTAAGCTCATGCAACAAAAAAAAGTTAGTGCAGAAAGAGAAGTGAGCATCATAATCCAACAGAAGGAGAAAATAAAATATCAGTTCAAGTAAAGATAGGACGTCTGGTAAAGAAATCTGAGCCTTGAGGTTAAAAGTTTAAACCGTTTGCCCAAGGTTAAAAAGATAGGGCAGTTCTACCTTTTTCACAATCCAAACATTTTACCAGCAATTGAAATGTCAATGCTCCATTTGCTATGGTGAATGATAAAGCTACAATAACATGCAGGCAACAAATGGCAAGACCACACAACCTCCAATGCAGGTAGGAATGCATCAGAATAAAAGACAGTATCAAGGGGGCAAGAAACTCATCCTCCGAGATTTAAAAGATGATTTCTCCATGACATGGCACCTCATTCTCCAAGTAACATTTCTGTCAGTAAAAATATAATCAGGACCACAGCCAGGACCCTAGCGGCCAACTCTAAGAAATATCATTCTGGTCAGCAACTATACAATCAGTACCACAGTAAGGTCCCTGGTACTAAGATATACCATTAGTTGAACTCCTTCAAGAACTTCCAGTCAAACACACACTTAAAAGTTAAAATTAGTCAGGACGCTCACTGCAGACCAGAACAAACTAAAAAAATCAAATATGCAAGAAGCAAATGGCCGCAAGAGTTTCACATTATCCGGCATGGAAATTACCACTAAAAAAGAAAATTTTAAAAAAATGAAGATGAAAAAGCGGACTGAAAACAACAAGACAACTCTAATGAGAGAACGTTTATATCATCAGCACCCGTGTAACTTCCTTATAGTTAAGTAAGAGAGGAAGACAAAAATATGAAAAATAAAAAACTAACTACACCATATTGCAAACCACCTTTACAATTCTTATCGTGCTCAATTTATTGTTTCCATGAGATTTACCCACCGGATAAATGTCGAAGACAGCATCTTTAGTAAAATAAGGCCATAATAAGAAACTTCTTTGACATACACTCTAAAGCAATTATGAAAATACCTTGTAGATGCAGAATAAACAAGATTTCTTTTCTCCAAGACGCCATCTACAAGGAGACAGTCAACCTACAATTTTGACAAATAAAAACGCAATAAGAGTATATAAAAGATAAAGACATTAATTGCATCCACCTAATTTGCTGCTTTTAACCACCCAAGAAAAAATAAAAGATAAACAGCAATACATGACTAAGGTGGCGTTTGGTTGTTTGCAACTAGAGTTGCAATGCAAGTGTCACTTGCATGCAACTGAGACGTTGCAACTCTTCTTACATGCAACTACAGTTGCAATTGTTTGGTTTAAAATTTAAATTTTATAACTTATAGTTGTAGCTGTTTGATTATGCTTATAACTTAACATATGCAACTCATAAAATATTTTTAAAAAATAATATTTTTTAAAAAGTAATATATTTTTAAAAAATATAATATTTTAAAAAATAATATATTTTAAAAAAAATAATATATTTTAAAAAAATAATATATTTTTAAAAGTTAATATAATATTTTTAAAAATAATATAACATATCATTTAAAATATATATTATTTTTAGAAAATTATATTATTTTAAAAATACATTATTCAAAAAACATATTATTTTAAATATATATTGTTCAAAAAATATATGATTTTTAATATATATTATTTTTAGAAAGATATATTATTTTAAGAAATATATTATTCAAGTAATTATATATTTAAATATATATTATTAAAAAAAATATTATTCAAAAAACATATTATCCGATAAAATATATTATTTTAATATATATTAATTAAAAAATATATATATTAATTTTAAATTATTATTTAGAAAAATTATATTACTTTTAAAAAATATATTATTTTAGAAAAATAATAGTATTCCTGGAAAATTTTATTTTTCATAAAATATATTATTTTAGAAAAAATATATTATTCAAAAAATAAATTATTTTAAAAATATATTATTTTTTAAAAAATATTATTTTAAAAAATAATATATTATTTTAAAGATAATATATTACTTTTAAAACTAACATATTATTTTGAAGAAATTATTATAATAATAATTATTTTAAAAGATTAATGTTGTTTTTTTTAAAAACGTTTTTGAAGAAATTATTATAATAAGAATTATTTAAAAGATTATTTTAAACCTTTAATGAATTTATTTTTGAAATATTAAGTAATGATTTTGATTTTAATAAATTTAGTTCAGTTGCAACTAAGTTGTAACTATGACTTGCGGTCATTTTTGACGTAAGTCATATGTTGCAACTAAGGATTGTTTTGCAACTGTGGTTGCAACTGCAACTGTGGTTGCAACTGCAACTGTGAGTTGCAGCAAAACAAACAAATGCAACTAGTCAAATTGGACCTAGTTGCATGCAACTGGAGTTGCAACCACTCCAGTTGCAGCCTACCAAACAGCCCCTAAACATAAAATATGCCCGCAAGGATGCCTTAAAGTTTAAGGAAATATCAATCTATTACCATATTTAAAAGGTGGGCTTGTTATCACTATTTTTGGTGTTGTCACACTTTAAAAATTCCAAGAAATGTCTGCACAAATTACAATGAATTAAAGCTTATGTGGGGGACAAGTTTCGAAATATTCAGAATAACTGAAATCCCTGTCTTCAAGAGCCCTCATGTGTTCTGTATCTACACCAATAAAACAAAACCCAAACTAACCTTTTCACCCACGTTTCTCCCTTTTTCCACAGTTTCACGTCTCGAAGAAACTTCCAAAAACTTTCTATACGGATAAAGAATTACATCTCTTATTAGGAAAAAAATATATGCACGGCAACTTTAAGATCACACTCAAAAAATATATCCTCTTTAACGTCATTAAGAAAGCTTCTTCATTATTACTAGAATTATAGGTGATACAATTGAGTTCAAACAAAACTCCTTCTGCTGCTATTGTTTATCTAGTAGCCAGGTTAGAATTTTTCAAACCTTTATGTCATGTATTGTTGTTCAGGACCATCATGATTACTTTTTTAAATCTTTACATGTCTAGAAATAAATCAACACTTCCTTCTCACTTGGCGTTAATTTTGTTTTTCTGGTAGTCAGTTTATTATTTTTTTTTCTTCTAGTTCTCACACTTTTAGGTAATATTTATTATGGTGTCACACGCATTGGTTTTTTCTATGAAGACCTACAAGTGACGAAATCATTTCTTGCCCCCCTCCTTTTTATGCTAATTTTTTTTTAATATTACTAAGGTGTTAAAAATATTTTTTTTATTATGTTCAGCATAGACTTTTAAACGGACGATGATCCAAAGAAACATCACATCACAGAGAACGTCTTCATCTTCTTCAACAACATAGAAGATCAAATACTAGAACCGGTAAGTTTACTATTTACAAATTATCAAAAATTCTTTTTTTTTCTATGGCTCATGAAATGGGTCAAATCATTTCAAGTTAACCTGCGATGGACATTTTGTGTGGAAGTCGAAAAGTAAGTGAATATTAATGTTGATGATTTTTTAACCCATTTTATTTGATAACAAGGAGATTCCTGCAAATCTTGAACATTATTTGTCTAAAGAAACTTATCTAATTTACAATTTTTCCCATATCCATTCAAACATGTCTATTGCACATGTCGCAAGGGAAGAAGTATAAAAAATTTGATTAACATGTATATAGAGTGAAAAGTATATTCTAAATAAAACATTATTAATTTGTGAATTACCTTACACTTCTATCACTTTTTCCAATAATTTTTCGTACTCCTATTTATATTAGCATACGATTTAGCAACATTTTATAATGCGTAAATATGTGCTATGTCATGCACGCAGCGCATGCAACAAAGTGCTAGTATCCAATAATTAAAATTAATAGCATTATATAGAGAAAAGGAGAAAACATTTGGACTCCATAAAATCAAGATGGGCAAGTAGAAATGTAGTGAAATAAGGAAAATAAAAATATAAATAGTATGTGAGAGAAATATCTGCATTCAAAAAAATACCAAATTTGTTTAAGAAACACAAGACACTATCAGCATGTATAGTAATGGTCCAAGAAATCAAAAATAGAGCATGTGCAAACTTCTCCATTACAGCTAAGGAGAAGAAACGGCAGAAGGTTAGAATAGATGGAAGATACAGCAATGTAAGATACAGTAGACGAGGACAAAGACACAAAATGGACTGATATGTAAGAGCTAGACCAAAATAGTTGGAATATGCATAACAAACAAGGATATCTATTCGTAAACAGACCAATATAGAAAAACATAAATAAATGATTTACAAGTCTTTTTTATGGAACAAAAAATTGAAATTGCACTATAACAGCAAGAAATACAAAATTTATGTTCCATCTAAAACAAGGTAATATTCAAAGGCTTTGTGCTAATGTAAGAACCAACTGCTAAATGATAAGTTCATCAGATACTCTTGTGTCAACCTAATGTTCTTAATCTCTGAAAGGACTTGTACATAACTTCTTTGTACATGTATATACTTCTTTTAAAAGGGTTATTGTATCTTAGGGAGGTCGAGCAACATCATACTCCATAATAAACAAAGAAAATATGCAAATATCAGTTTATCCCTTCTATGGGACTTCTACAGGTTTCATAGGCCGTAGACAAAAGAATCCAATAAAAGTCCAACAACAAACCTGCCAAGGATAAAGCTTTGAAATGCCTTTCTTCATATAGATGCTGCATACTTCAGAAGGAAGCCAACAAGATAGCTGCAACTGATCCTTTAAAGGAATAGAACTAGGAGTTCTAGCTTCTTCATAAATGACATTTGCTGGTCTACACCTGAAACTTTTTGCCTCGGTAGCAGCATTACAACCAGTCACTGGCAGACAACTAGATGGAATCTTATCATTCTGCATATGCTCAGCGTCATTGGTTTGAGTTGAAACCCCACTTCTCCTCTTGTTCGCCACTAAACCAAGATCGCTCTCTATGACTTGACCTAACTTTTCAGATAAAAGAGATGCACTACTAGACTTTGATTTTGGAGAGCAAATTTGTTGCTCCCTTAGTGCTTCGACATCTGAGGCCTGAAATCCATTTTGCCTTAAAGAAGCTCTATCAGCCGACTTGTTCTCTAAACCAGTTACAGGTACAACTTCTTTAACACGACAATGGGAAGTACTCTCGACAACGGTGTTATCTTCACGAGAAAAGTCAAAATGCTTTACTGGCAACGGTGAACCATTATTATGGTTCACAGATTCGGATAAAATCCCAGTTCCATCAACATCCTTTTCAATAGGTTTCGCGCAATGGTTTAGAGGAGCAACACAAGATGACTCGTCCTTTATTACCATCTCATCAGCTGGAACAAAAAATCCATCAGCAACTTGAATTGCCTCGTCCCAAAATTCATCTCCTGGAGAGAACATAGACCTCCTAGACACAGATTTAGGTGTCTCAGTTGCAACAAGGTCCTTCTTACTTAAACTAGAATTCGGAGTATGGCTACATTTTCTCAAACTCATGCACCCAATTCTACCGCCGTCGCTTTCACCACTGATCTTACATGCTAATTCCTGATTATTTTGCTCAGTTTTCAAGGTCTCAACGACACGATCTTTACTAGAAGAAGCATCCTCTAATTCCTGGGCTGAGTTAGGTTGATCTAAAAGACAATGCTTCTTACCGCAAGTTTTATTACAAGCAAGTAACAGAGTCGGGCTCCCGTTCCTCTTCTGCCCCTTCGGTTCTATCTCAGGCTCCGCGTTCACAGCTGATGGCAGGTCACTGGGAAATAAAGGCCAGAATTATGAGCGTCGCCAACAAAAAGGAAAGGGTTCTTGAGATATAATTCCTCAAATATCATCTAAAATTGAAAGAACTTCCAAATCTTGATAGTACGGAATAAGTTTCCATAAACCCATTAGCTATCCCACATTAGTCGTTCCGGTTTAACTCCAACGCTAGTGGAGACAGTCAGTTTTTCTGTTGTGCTCCTGTCTTCAACCCCAGCTTCGAAGTTATGGGTTTAGAAGTAGTTATTGTCCTCGAGCCCGAAGACATGTGGGTATAACAGAAAAACTAGCCGTCATGACTTTGTTGATTTTAAACTGCAGGGAGTCGGGGACTAATTTGGGATATCTGAAGGGTCTTAAGTAATTATTTCAAAACAGATGAGCTTTGGGGATCAATAATATCTCAAAAATCCAAAACAATACCCGAGACAAGAATGAAGCTTTTTTTTTTTTTTTTGATTTTTTGACCTGCAGTACAAAGAAAGGAAATCGGCAGCAAACTTTTTGAGCTCAGAATTCTGTCCAACATTTTCAACAGCCTTCTCCTCCTCCTCTTTGCTTATCGAGCAACCTCGGCTCATCAAAGAAGAAGGCAACGACAGATGGATCTCCTTGGTGAGATTCCTCTTGACGATCGGATTTTGCCCGGTGGCGTCGCGGGGAGATTTGACGAGGTAGGTATCGAGAGAACCTTTAACAGGAGAGGGAGTCGATCCATGGGTAGGGCTTTTTGGCGCCTTTGAGGAGGATGACGAGGGTTTCCTCTTCCTTGAAGCGTAGAACTTGCATAGCAAGAAGAAACCGTGGTCAGAATTTGACGAAATCATGACAGAGATTGGAGGAATTAAGGTAGGGTTTAGAGGGGGGTACCTGATCGATGCGGGATCGAGGAGACGACGACGACATTTGAGGGTGGGGCGAGCGGAGTTTGGGGGGAGGAGAGGGAATGTAAATTGGGGGAGGGCCTCACTGCGGGTTTGAACGAAAAATAAAGAACCGCCCAGGGTCCCGGACCCAGGGAGAAGGTATCCTATTAAGCCCCTGACTTTTACTCTTGCTGTTAGGGCCTGTTTGTTTGTTTTCAAAAAAGCAAGAAATGGAAATGGAAATGGTGGAAATCTCAAAATAATCAATTTCTTTCATTTCCATCCCTAAAACTCACCCACAACATCCAATAAAATATTATTTTCATCCAACAACTCATCCACATCATCTAATAAAATATTATTTTTATCTAACCACTCATCCACCACATCTAATAAAATATTATTTTCATCTAACAACTCATCCATCACATCTAATAAAATATTATTTTCATCCAAACATCACTCAACTCATCTCTTTTTATTATTTCAAATCGCTCACATCATCGAATAAAATATTATAACAATTCACCTCATCTCATTAACATTTCATTTCTTCCATTTCATCCCAAAAAGTTGTGAAAACACATTTCTTAATCTTTCTTCACATCAACCAATAATACAATGACAACTCATCTCATCTCATTTCATTTCTTATTTTTAAGAATGAACCGAACAAAAGAAAACAAGAAAACTACAGGAAATAGGTTTCTTATAATTCATTTCCTTATTTTTTTTGGCCAACCGAACAACATCAAAACTAGTTTTCTTAAAAAATCACTCACATCATCCAATAATAATGTGACAACTCATCTCATCTCATCTTCATTTCTTTGATTTCCTTTTTTTTTAGCCAACCGAACACTCCAAAACACTTCTTCATTTTCCATTTCTTTGATTTCCCATTTTTTTAAGGCAAACGAACAGGCCCTTAAAATAAAATGCATTTTAAGTCAGGGACTTCTTAGAAACCTAGAGTAAAAGTAAGGGGCTTAGACCATCTCCAACCCATTGCATCAAAATGGTGCAAATTTTGCATCAAAATGGTGCAAAAGTCAGATCAAATAGTAATACATCTCCAACCCATTGCACCATTTTTTAAACCAAAAAAGAATATTCTCAGTATATTATCACTTTATTCCATTTTATCTATTTTTATATTAATTGAGAGGTAAAAACAAATATTTAAAAAAATTTAAAAAAGTGAACAGTAATAGGGCAGATGAACAGTGCGACGCCATATTTGGTGCAGCACTGTTCATTTGCACCAAAATGGAGCAGAAATTAGGGCTAGATTGGAGAAGGAACAGTGCAACAAAAATCACTGTTTGCACCAAAATGGGGCTGGGTTGGAGATGCCCTTAGGGCCCGTTTGTTTGTATTATTTGGAGGGCGATTTTGCAAGAAGCTTACAAAAGTTCTGATTTTTTCAGAACTTTTACAGGTTTTCACCCTCCAAAATTACGTCAAACGTGCCCTTTAATATAATACCTTCTCGACTCAAGGCCCTCAAGGGGACAAGACGATGGTGGGGCACAATCACAAATATTTGTATGGACAGCTCTTAAAAAATAAAAATAAAATCTTATTTGTTTAAGATTACTACTGAAGAGGCACATGTGCTGCACGTGCATGATGCGCGTAATCGCACCAAATTAAAGAAGTATATAACTCTACTGCAAACAGTCCTCTAAGCATTAATTATTTTCATTGATAATAGGCTTACTGAAAATGATTTAAATAAAATTAAGTAACAGTTTAACTGTTGCTAACCATTACTACTAAGGCTGTTGCAATTTGTTATTAATAATGCTCCATAATAGTTATGTTGTTTATTATTATGAGATAGACACCCGCAAGGATAATATCTTATCTTAGATATAAGATATTCATAATCCTAATAAGTGTAGGATTCTATCTCTAAGCGCTTCATATATAGATATAGGGTTTTCATGATGGGAATAAGAGAGAAAATACTGAAAACCTTCATAATGTCGTTATCGCCTTCTCCGATTAAATTCGTGCTTTATGTGGTAGTCGCGGGGTGATATGCGGGGGTTTCTCCCCAGTTGCACAGTGTGGTTGCCCTCCGGTCATTAATCAATAAAGTCGTGACTATCCTACAGAAAAAATCTAAATCATTAACACTAAACTTATCGTTTATGTTCCTAGATGCATGCTAGGGTTTCTTTTATTTCTGATGTGCATTGCTATGTAGTAGAACAACCTTATTGCATGCGTATAGTTATCCGAATCCTACATTGTTATTCGTCGGTTTCTTGATGGTGATTTTAGTCCTTAGAACAGCAAAGTTGGGATTTTTAAAATTAAAATTTTACTTTTTAATTAAATAAATAAATTATTGGTGAAAAAAATCTATTTTTACTATTTAGGATGTTAAATTTGTGGTAAAATTTTAATTTTTGGTACTAAAAATCCAATCTTCGACATCTGAGATGTTAGATCTATGAAAAGGATTCAATATTTATGAAATTAGAGGGCCTTTTTTTAATAAATAAGGGATTTATTAATTCTTAATGAATCAGGGATTTATCGAAATACCTTTTTTTGTAAATATTTTTTAAATAAAAAATTAAAAAAAAACGTGTCAAGGCCCCTCAAAAAAGAACCTGATGTGGCCTAGCCCCATCAAGTTTTTCTCATGCTCTTTAGCCCCAAAAAACTTAAAAAATTGTCGCCTAGCCCTAAAAGCTCACTTTTATACATGTATGACTTGTATTTGTACAGATCTTCTGAAAATATCATCTTCTCACCAAACTGTCGTGTTCTCTCTCTCTCTCTCTCTCTCTCTCTCTCTCTCTCTCTCTCTCTCTCACACACACACACACACACTCAAACACCCAAAACCTAACTCAAATTCGATCTCTCACTGACGTCGGCACGATGATTCACCTCCTTCACGAATGTAACGCCTATCAACGCTCTATCGACTTCTGCCCCGACTTCTCTCCTCCCACCCCGATCTCGACCGTAGCCTCCTCGCACTCCGTCGCTCCTCCTCCCCTCTTCTCTCCCTCGCTCGCTCTAATTCTTCCATCCTCCTCTCCTCCACTGCCTCCTTCGCCCATCAAGTCTCACTCGCGTTCGCCAGCTCGACCTCACACAGTCTCGAGTGCATCTCGCCCTCTCTCACATCGACGCCGTGCTTCACTATTCGCAGTCCCTCGACGCCGCTCAACGATCACTCAATGTTGAGGACTACGACTCTGTCACCGCATCAATAATTTGTTGTCTGTTGGGGTTCCCGAAGGGTCGGATCCAAGAGAGATGGAGACTAACTTGGAGGAGATCTTGTCATTGATGCATTTGGGGAACGATTATACTAAGTTCATGATGACGAAGATTAGAGGATTGGGGTTCGTTGATCCTGAATTTGGTTCAAAGGCTGTGAAGAGATTAAGTACTGTGAGCCTTACTGGAGTGATGCAGGAGCTAATTGGGTATATTTGTTCCTTGAAGAGTTCTTTATGGTGGAGACTGTGAGGAAGGCAATATCAATTGATGAGCAGCAACTAGAAAGTCTGTCAACATCAATAGTGGTTGGTGTGATTGTATGGATCTGATCTTTCATACATATATATATATCAATGTCATCACATTTCAGGTAAAACTAATACATTGGAGAAGTATAAAATATTTTAACTACTCTCGATGATGAATCTAGTGTCAAATGTGTCAGGCTTGTAGTTGAGCTTCTAAATAGAAGGATGGGGATAGAAGAATTGAGCAGAGCCATTAAATAAGGATGGAGAGAAATTTGTTTCAAAAATTGATTGATTGTAAAAACTTGTGTGCATGTTTATATTGTGTTACTAATTTTAGTTGTATTAATAGTAGATGTGGATGACAAACAATGTAACAAGCTTAACTTCTATTATTCTTATTGTATTTATAGTATTTTTTCTATCAATTTTGTTATGGTGTTCACTCACCCAAGATACAGTATTCACAAAATGATACGATAAGAGTCCTAGTCAACTCCTAAGGGTTCCAGGCATTTTGACTCCTAAGTCGAATATCAAGACATTGGCTCTTTATCAAGATAAGTCTAAGGCACAACGATTCCTCAGTCGAGTATCAAACCCTTGGCTCTTTATTAAGGTAAGCCCAAGGTACCACATATGGTCGAATCCTCTAGTACAACTCAACCATCATGGCCAGATTACAAGACCTTGGTACCTTACCAAAGTATAAACTCAATGCACAATTATAGAGGTCTCAGCCCCACCGACTCATCAAGCAGGCACCCTGGTGTCGACACAAGAGGTGATACTAATCGATACGAGAGATCTTGACATGCCAGACAAGTCGACATCTTTATATCGACCTGAAAGGTGGTTATTAAGCTGTGATAAGATGACGTCTCACTCAGTCGGACAGGACGACACTCCTAAGTCAACACAAAAGGCGGTGTCGGTCGACCCTTTTATCAAGGACGATCCTATTTAAGGCACTCGGCCACTCACTAGGTATTTCTCAGAAACGACTTAAGGGATGTTCCCTACTGTTGACTAAGTTGAGGACTCAACCCTGGTCTCAAGCCTCTCCCCTGAGCAAATGTCGACATCTCAGTCCAACTCGAACAAGTCTTATCTAGATATTGGTCTGACAAAGTCTCCATAACTCGTCAGCTCAATCACTTCTCGGAAAATGCAAAGATACATTCTCCCATAATGAAGTGGCTTCCCCTCCAGTCGCCAGTCGATACTTGTAAAGCAAGGGACAACTCAGCATGCCTACGTGCCTTCTGCCAAGCTCACAAGTCATTTCTTGGATATCGCGGAGACGCCATCTCCCATGCCGAAATGACTTCCCTTCCAGTCATCAGCCGACACTTGTAAAGAGAGGGATGACTCATCTTCCACCTCACGCTTTGTCACCACCACTCGGTATGGCCGAAATGACCAATCTACCACAGACATCCATGCTATATATGGATATTGTTCAACATCAAAAGAGAGAGGGAGCCCCCAATAAAATCAAGGTAAGAAAATAAATAACAATCTAACTCTTCTAGTTCATCCAATCTGAGAGATGATAATCTAATGCACATAGCATAAGAACGCATAGTTCTAAACTCCACTCAAACTCA